CCCCAAAACCCCAAAACCCCAAAACCCCAAAACCCCAAAACCCCATTCTTAGGGGGTTTTATTGAAAAATAGTAAAAATGAAGCTGATCCTGTGCTTTGCCATTAAATTACAGTACAAACACTTTTGAATACAGGAATATGAGGCACTATGAACAATGAATGGAGTGGAACCAGTAGTGCTAAGTGACACAGTCGAGTTTGACTGTGACAAGTCCCCATTTATTGCAGTGGAGTTAAAAGATTATCAAACTGCAAGGAAAATTGTTTCCAGGTCAGTTATGATCAAATATATCTTAGATCCTTTCTCAATAGGATGTAGTTATGAGGATTTGTTCGCTAATTTAGATCAAGAAAAGCTGGTAGATTCCTTTCTTATCCAAAAATCTATCAAATTTAAAATTGAATCAATCAAAAAGAAGATTAAGCCAAAGGAAGCTAATGAAATAATTGGTCCTTATGGCGATCTAGCGCCAGAGGAGGTTATCTTTGATATGAAGAATCCTGATCAAATATACATGATAGTCAGTAACCCGAGCACTGAGGAGTATTATATGGGCATTGAAGTTGCTTGTATGAGCTGGAAGAATAATACGAGTAACTTTTATGCTAAATATGACCTTAAAGCCCGCCCATATCTTGGTCCCACATCCACAAGCCATGAACTCGCTTTTCTGATGGCTAATCAGGCTGAATTAAAGGAAGGAGATCTTGTGTTTGATCCCTTTGTAGGTACAGGAAGTATTCTAATTGCATGATCTGCTCTCAAAGCATTCTGATTCGGTTCAGACATAGATCTAAGAGTTCTCCAAGGCTATTCAGTAGGGAAGAAAGCTAAAAAGGAAATACCTGGTGCTGATGTAATTGATAGATATGATGTTTTTGCTAACTTTAAGTACTATGGGCTTCCAAAACCATCTATAATCGCTATGGATATCTCTTATCCAACAATGCTTCTCAATAAATTTGATGCCATAGTCTGTGATCCTCCGTATGGAGTCAAAGCTGGGAGTAAGAAAAGCAAGCTGAAAGAGAAAGTAAGTGAGAAGGAGCCCAAAACTAAAATTATTAATGACTCTACATTTGGAATGCTTTCAAAGAAAGAAAATTATGGTACCAATGAAATATATCACAAGTTGTTAGAAATAGCCTCTCTCTTATTGAAATTGGGAGGTAGGCTTGTGTTCTTGTTCCACACCGACACAGAATATTCATCAGAGCTAAATGAGTTCCCAACTCATCCTTGCTTTGAATTCGTCCATTCATGTGAGAATCCATTGATGAGGAAAAGATCTCGGCATTCAATCAAAATGGTAAAGATATTGGAGCCAGGAGAAGGAGAGTAGAAGGATAATTCACTGGCAAGTTTTCAATATTGAAAATATTTAGAGGGGTTTTGGGGTTTTGGGGTTTTGGGGTTTTGGGG